TAAAAGCCAAAACAAGGACTAACTTTAGAGGCGACGACCTGTGACACTGATTTGAAGATCTTTGAGAAGCATTGTTTAATGGCTGCCTGTGGAGGACCAAACCTGCAGAAATGACAAATAAATAAATATAGATAGATAGATAGATAGATAGATAGATAGATAGATAGATAGATAGATAGATAGATAGATAGATAGATAGATAGATAGATAGATAGATAGATAGATAAATAAATAATAAAATAAATTTTAAAAAAAATCTTTATGTAGTATTTTCTGTATTTATATTTATTCTTTTTAACGTTTATTTACTTCTATCATTTATTTATTTATATATTTATTTATGTTTTTCAATATTTTTTAATTTTGCAGGTTTGGTCCTCCATAGCGGAAGCCATTTTTCATCACAGGACAAAAAAGTAAAAAGGTAATTGCGACTTTTTATTTCACAATTTTGACTTTTTCTGGCAATTGGGACTTTATGTCTCACAATTCTGATATAGACCTGTGAGACATAAACTCAGAAATGCAAGAAAGTCCGTATTGTGAAATAAAAAGATTGCAAGAATTACAAAAGTTAGATTAAATAGCGAGAGAAAAAAAAATCCGAATTTTTTATCCTTATAGAATTGTGAGGGGGGGGGGGGGGAAATCTGACTTGTGAGGTAAAGAGTCACAATTTGTATTTTTTATCTTGTGGCGGAAACAAGCTTCCATACAAACCTCATTCATTATTAGCTGTAGCTTTAGCATAATAGCATTAGCACAAGCGACACTACCTTCCTCCACCTGCTCCTCTACCTCCTCAAGCATCTCCTCATCCTGCAACTCCTCTGTGCAAAGCAGACGCAGACAGCGTGAGAACATAAGCGTGCATATAGTTGCAAATGAGCAATGCATGCATCCAATATACACAGACTCTCAAACACGTGCTTATCTGAATGTTGGCGTTTTGTTGTTTTTTAAAGAAAAATATATTCCCATATTAAATCATTTTGTCCATTTGAGGACATTGCTATATGTTTGCAAAATGAAGTTTTGTCAGATTTAGCTCACGTTTGGTGTATACATTTGTCACCAAAGTATAGCAAAACTCAAACACACACACTTCAATCTCATTTAACTCTTTGAATGCATATGAGGAGTTTGAGGGTAGATGAAGGAAATCAGGCCTCATTTAAACAATAAAGGCTTAGACTTGTGAGTGATGACACGCAGTGCTATTACATAATGTCGTTTGGGAAACTGCTGGTCCTGATACTCCACCCTCGAACTAATCCAGCCACACATAAACACACCCGTCACCGCTTTCTCTGATATCAGCTTCTGCTGCCAAAGAACATGATCTCACAACACACACCCCAGCGCTCATCCGCTCTCACTCTCCTGTTCTTTAATGCATGTTGGGTAGGTTTACAAATCAAAGCAGCCAAATGTCCTCCCAGAACAACAAATACTGGCACTTTCACGAATACGGTTTAAAACAGGACCTTAAAAATAAAGTTGTTTTTTTCAACAAATGATCGGTGAATGGAGGTGCTTAACAATCAGATTTATTTTTAAACTAAAAGGTTGAGTTAATAAGCTTCACGAGTTTTTTTTTTTTTTTTTCATGTCAGAATGGGTACTCATTTTATATGAGCAATTATTGCGAATGGATAACACGTTTGAAAATTACAGGTTTTTTTTTTTTGCTTGTTTTTTGTTTTGTCTCCCATAAATGATCAATTGTTTCCCATGTGGATAAAATGTTTCCCATAAATTAAAGAAAATATTTTAAATACAGTAAACATTTTTTACAAATATGTTTCTTTACAAAAAAATATTTTCACTATATATAGGTGATGAAAATAATTATTCAAATTAAGAAAAGTATTTAATTTGAGTCAATATTTCTTTTAAGTACCATGAGGTGGCAATTAATATATTTTCTAGCTACTTTTCGAAACATGGAGTAGTAGGATTTGTCCCACTAATGCTTGTAATTGGATACCAAAAAATGTCCTGTTTGTGGAAAGTGCCAGCTAAATTCTTCTCCCTGTACCTGTATTTGTTTCTACAGGTCTGATTTCAGTGGGCTAAACACACATTCCTGTCACATGAAGGGACGGTTTGTATTCAAAATACGTGTCTTTGTTCAGTGCAACCTCGTTCACTGTGAATCTCGCCTAGAAAGGCACTCTCTCCGTTACTGGTCAATAAAGGTAACATTTAACTGAGGTATCAGGGTAAAAGCCCAGGAGCCGATGTGCAAACCAGATCATCTACAGCGAGGAAACCTGATTCCCATTTGGGCCGGCCGAGAGAGGGAGAGACTGAGCTTGTCATTGTGCTCCAAACAACAGCCCTTCTCAGCGGCCTCGAACACACAAACCTTTCTCTGCGTGAACACTGACTGGAATGTTGTAATTGAAGTTGCTTGATGAAAAACATAGAAAATGATGTCTAATGTGCATGCTTTTTAATCATGATCAATAACTGGAAGAATAATCAAATGCCATTTGTTAAGTGTCTCTAAATAATGTTGTTTATATCCACCTGTACACGCATACATGTTTATTAAAATCGATTATTAAGTGAAACATCACTGCAATGCATTTATGCATTTGATCCCACAATTTGAAACTTCCCAAAATGACTTCAATAAAAGGTGAAATGTTCAATAAAATGCTCAATAAAAGGTGAACTGTCAGAGGTTGTTTACATGAACATCGTTTAGAACTCTCAGAAATGTAACCTTTTTGTCATAATTATGACAAAAAAAGCAAGTTTTTTTTTCTTATGTGGCAGAAATGGTCTTAGCTAAAAGTTGAAATGTTCTACGTGAAAGTTGTATGAGTTTATCTCCCCAAGATACTAGCTATTTCACTATGTTAGGTTGTTGTCTACATTAAAAAAAGTATTTTGTCAGGTAATCTAAATTATTATTTTATATGTAAACATCTAAATTAAAATTATTTAATAAAAATATTACTTCTTATAATATTAGTATATTTTCTACTTTTAACAGTGCATTTTGTGTGTTGTTTTGGAGCATTTGATTTAAAATAATGTTGACTTAATAGACAAAACTGTGAGTTTAATGCAGATTTATTATTTACAGGGAAGCAAAACAGATTCAAACTTACCCTCTTGCCCCCTGGACAGAAACAAACAAGATGGGAACGTTATGTTAATTTTTGCAATCACTATACACGTGTCAGTGATTGAAGTGTCTATGGATGTACTTGCATGCATTTATTCTCTTGTTCCATCCTGCACAATGCATATAAATGCTCTTAAATGAAGCCCAAAGACACTTACTCATGCTCAACGTCCTCTCTGTATGACATGCTTAGATTAAGACCTGTTTCATATACAGATTGCAGAAAATTTTGTCAGCTCTTACAATGATTATACTGGTCTGACAACATATTAAACGATCAATCTATCATGCTTTTGGTGGAGACGTGCAGATATTGCTCTTACCTGTCTTTAGGTCAGGATGAGGTTACTCACCGGTTTGTCAAAGGCTGTTTGCTCTTGAAGCTGAACCCCAATGATATATAAATTGTCCCAAGATCACATGACTATACTGTATATGAAATGATTTGTGTTGATAGAGGGTGGGCTGGCCGCACATGCCACTGCACATACATGCACCTATGAACACGTATAGTACATGCACAGTGAGAACAATAGACACATTCTCTTTGTCTGTGCATCGTGTCTATTAATAGATCGGCTGACAACTGTGCGCTCATATGATGATCTTAGTGTTCTACTTTAACTGTTTTGGAGTGATAATTTTATACATAATAAAACAGTGACTTAGGTGGTATGATATGTATATACTGGTTAATTAAAGGAATAGTTCACCCAAACATAAAAATAAAAAATAGCTGAATATTTACTCACACTCAGGTCAGCCAAGATGTAGATGGGTTTGTTTCTTCATCAGATTTGGAGAAATGTAGCATTGCATCACTTGCTCGGCAATGGATCCTCTGCAGTGAATGGGTGCCGTCATGAGAGTCCAAACAGCTGATAAAAACATAATAATAATCTACAAGTAATCCACACCACTCCAGTCCATCAATTAACGATTATTAATTATTGCACACGCATTATTATTATTATTATTATTATTTTAGGTTTGTTTTATTTATTTATTTTTATTTATTTTTTAAATGTCATTTATTTGTTTGTGTTTCTTGTTTTTCTTGTTTTATTTGTTGTTGTTAAATTATATAATTAGTTAAATAAACAACTAAACTGTATCTAACATGATAAGATTATCAGTAAAATAAAACTGTGGCAACTCGACTTAAGCCGCCACTATACAATGTAATCAATACAAAATATGAATAAAAAATATATATTTATATTATAATATGGGCTACATAAATGGCAAAATAATGTTTAACTTTTTTAGAAAATAATAATATCACAAATAATACATACAGAAGGCAGAATCCTGACTGGACGAGAGGAGGAGCTGGGGATGGAGGAGGGTAATTAGCTATTGAGCCAACTTGAAAGCTGCTGATAATACTGAAGGACCTTATATATGGATGATGTGATAGGCGTATTGTTATAACATATTAGTACTATAGTATAAACAATATATTATAAATTATATTGAATCTAAAAATTAGATAACATTGCTACTCCTAAGAACTGACAGTATAATATCAACGCTGATAAAGAGACTGCCTTCCTGTTCTCACTTGCTCATTCGAGAAGAAACACTCTTTAAGTGACCTGCTCTTAAATCATGTTATTTGCTAAGTTGCTTGATAAAAGAGAGATGAATGATGAAACTCAGCACAATGAATGCACAACTGTACTGGGCTGGAAACACTATTCAGACGGTTAATCCAGCACTAGAGTAAAACTTCATTATGTTCTAGTGAATGCAGAGGTAATGTGAGGGACATAAAGGCAGATCTTTCATATTTCAGAGGTGAGTCATGTGACCTGGAATGGCTCAATGTCACAAAAATACAGAGCAACTTTCTCCTCCCCTGTGAAATGGAGAGTTGGTCAATCAGGAGTGAAATGTTTCACCTTTGCACTTTTTTGACACTGTGACCTTGAGTGCACGTCATGGACAATTAGTGAGCAGTGTTTGGCCTTAGTAACTGGTTTTGTTGGTCTTCTACAGCTGGTTATGTGTTTGGACATGTTTTGGATGAATGGCTTTACGCTTGATTTTTATGCACTTTTTCAGTTTCGAGTATGACATTAAAAAAAGCTTTCTAAATATCACTGTCAATGATTTATTTTCAATGCACTCCTAAGAATAAAGGCTCTTCAGTGGTTCTTTAAACTGGACAATTCCCACTATAGTTGAGTTGTTAATGCTAATGATCATTGATTAGTACATATGTACTCGGCAGATGCTTTTATCCAAAGAGACTTACATTGTGTTCAAGGTACCCATGTAAATTGTATCAGTTCTTGATTTCACTGGGAATCAAACCCATGGCCTTGTGGTTGCTAGCACCATGCTGTACTGTTTGAGCAACAGGAAAGCTATTAAATAAATTTAGATCAATATAGATCATAGTGTAAAAGTAAATAAGTGTAGAGCATTTATTTTAATACAATTTCTTACAAAGTTCTAGCTGGTAAACACTGCCCTCTAGCAGCTGGTAAGTGTAGGAGCATCAGTTTCTGTTGGTTTTACTGATCATCAGACCTCATACTTCCTCATATACAAGATCAAATGAGACTCTTTAAGATATGATGATAATGATAAAATACACTCCTTTGCTCATGTGACTGTAATGACGTAAATGTTTAACTGGTAAACTGAGAAATATGCAGCCAAACCACTGAAACAGTCACTTTGGCCTTATCAGCACATCCGGGTTTGCAGTGCAGACACACCATACTTACGTATAAGTATGAATCACTTTATAAAGGCAGAAAGGAGGGGTTTTTACCCAGTTTATTTTCTCATTTCGTTTTATTAGCAAACATTTGTCCAGTACAAACATTCACATGAAATGACAAATCATGATATTTATTTACAGTAGAAGTTGATTGTGTTCACTTGTTTACTGTGCCGCATCAAACATTTTCTTCCTTCCTTCCATTCCAGACATGGCCTCCACGTTTTTCCTCCAGTCACTGACCTCCACTGTCTTTTCCTACAAAGAGACACACAAACACAAATGCAGAACTGAACTGTGTAATAATGCAGGTCTGAGTAACGCTAAACTCTTTCATTTCAGTCAAGATGGACACCATCGACCCCCAGCACACCTTCTCTGTGTCTTCCTTCTTGACGGACTTGAGGTTTGCTCTCAGGTCCATGGACACCTTGTGTTTGGAGCCCAGCAGAGAGCGCAGGATTGCGTCAGCGGAGACTCGGACTCTCCTCAGGGTGGGTCGTTTGAATTTGCCTCTCAGGTCCAGGACTTTGATGTTCAGGTCCTTGATCTGCAACAGGTTTGTTGAACAGTTTGGTTCCTGTATGAATATGATGTCACGTTCTTACACAATACCACAGTCCTATTTCTTTTTTAAGAAATTGAAATTGTTGTGGCTGATGTGCTATATTAAACATTAAATTAATGCCAAAATCAAGATGGATTCCTACACCCTCAAACTTATATTTTTGTATATGATTAAATATTTTGCAGTGTTGGGGGTAACGCATTACAAGTACGTAATCAGATTACTTTTTTCAAGTAACTAGTAAAGTAACGCATTACTTTTTTAATTTACAAGAAAATATCTAAGTTACTTTTTCAAAAAAGTAACGCCAGTTACTTTGCTTTCCCATTTATTGACTGACAAGTCTCTTGTCCCCATGTTGGGAGAAATCGGAAGTGCAGAGACGTTGTGTGCGCTGTGTGAACATGATGTTACTGTAGTTCTAGAGTAAATGTGAATGTGCATTAATTCATCCCACTCACAAAAACAGATTTAGTATTCATCAAATTGAATTAAAACAGTGAAATGCAAACTCAGAATATGACGCAAACCTGCAATAATTAAATCTGTTAAATAACACAAATGTATTGAATCCCATTTTATTAACCAATGTCTTTGCTGCTGACCTTTGATGATCCAGTTCAACCATACTAATAAGC